TTCCTAGGAGAAACTCCTTTTCCAGTGGAGGAGCCTCCATTAATTCAAGTCTTTGTGCAGTGCTCCTTTTCTCTAGAGAAATGCTAGTGGAGAAGGGATTGGGGGAATTTACCTCACTGGGCTTTGGAAACAAGGCAAAGCAACGGGCCACGGTTCTCGCAGCAGCAGCAGAGACACAAAGGTGTGTTTTTGCAGGTAATTTATTGATTTCTCCAACAAATAAGGCCACACACACACACGTACACCTCGTAGTATCTGATCATTACACAAGCTTGGCAAGTGACCCACACTTCATCCTCAGCAGCACAAGTGCTGTAATGTGAGTTGGAGACCCCGATAGCTATACAGGAGCGGTTAAGTGGAGAGGGAGGGCCTTTGGCCCAGGGTTGGTACTCCAAGCACGTTCTGTGCTGGAGCAGCAGAGGAGAGTGGTTGTCCAGTGAGGATGGAGCTGGGTCAGAGGGGGGAGCGGAGCGGTGCGCAGGTTCCCGAGGGTCAGGATGCCAGCTTGTGCACTGCTACAGTGATGCTGTCGTGCTTCTGGATCATGATATTCCTAAAAAAAAAAAGTGCTGAGGCAGCTAAGAAGCCAGATGCAACAAGGAGGAGGTGATGTGGGTGGGAAACTGGACAGGCGGGGAATCATTCAGTGGCTGCAGCAACCCCCAGCTCTGCGCTAGACCTCTCGGTGACTGCATCTCTTCTGCCTACTCCCACAAACGGTGCTGGAGAAGTCTTTGCCTACCATGCTGCTGGGCTAGAGCATGGGCTTCGTTATCCATGGGGATCCCAGGTGTGGAAGAAGTATAGCACTGCAGTAACCACCACCCTCTGAAAGGTTTCCTACTGCTTTTACAGTTCCTGCTCCCTGCATTCCTATCAATTTAATGAAGTCATGTGCCTATGACAGTGACTACCTTCCCCCCACGGCTTCAGAGATGGAGCTTCCTCCACAGCTGCCCATTTAGCTCAAGATGAGGAGAGCTATTCTAGGGATCTGACTCCAGGGAGGGCCCCAGG